GTCTCTTTTGTTCTGCAGGCTTTGCAGCAGCTGTCAAAAACACACCCAGGCCTTCACATTGTTACTTTAGGTAAGTCTGTCCAAACTCTCTGCACCCGTTATATTGCATGTTTAGCAATATAGGTCGACCTTATAATGTTTATTATGTTGACTACATTATAAAGTGCAGCTGTTGTACCATGGCTGCAGGCATGTGAAGATGGGCTAATTATTCATCTCCTTCTCTATGGCAGCCCATCTTCTGAACTCACAAAGCTCAGAGTATTAAGTTAAAAGTTCTCTTTTCTGTTGTTCAATAAAAGTATTTTTTAAGATAATTTGAGGCGAGAACATTATACTTTAAGCTTCACTACATGGACCATTTACTGATTTAGTGTGGAATAAAAAAAAAAAAAAATTCCAAAGTTGAGAGGACCGCAGCAACCAACAGAGCTCCAAGGGTTTCAGCAGCCATGGCCGATGTTAGCCCGTCTGCAGCAGCTAGGGCTAACGTTAGCCCGTCTGCAGCAGCCATGGCCGATGTTGGCCCGTCTGCAGCAGCCAACACCATATTTATGCTGTGTGCTCCCGTTCTCCCCGACTTGGCGAGGACACAAGTCCGTACTCACGGACGAATTGAGAAACTCAACTCAAGATGGTTAAACATAAATACTGCTCTCCACATCATCATCATCTGCCATGGTTGTTGTTTTTCTTGCCGCTTCTGTGTAGCAAGACTCAGAATAGTGGCCTGTGTTGAGTATTAATGACGGATGAATCTGACCTGGCCGTTCAGACACAGGTCNTAAGATAATTTGAGGCGAGAACATTATACTTTAAGCTTCACTACATGGACCATTTACTGATTTAGTGTGGAATAAAAAAAAAAAAAAATTCCAAAGTTGAGAGGACCGCAGCAACCAACAGAGCTCCAAGGGTTTCAGCAGCCATGGCCGATGTTAGCCCGTCTGCAGCAGCTAGGGCTAACGTTAGCCCGTCTGCAGCAGCCATGGCCGATGTTGGCCCGTCTGCAGCAGCCAACACCATATTTATGCTGTGTGCTCCCGTTCTCCCCGACTTGGCGAGGACACAAGTCCGTACTCACGGACGAATTGAGAAACTCAACTCAAGATGGTTAAACATAAATACTGCTCTCCACATCATCATCATCTGCCATGGTTGTTGTTTTTCTTGCCGCTTCTGTGTAGCAAGACTCAGAATAGTGGCCTGTGTTGAGTATTAATGACGGATGAATCTGACCTGGCCGTTCAGACACAGGTCGCATTTGAAAAGATCAGATTCGTATCGGATTCAGGACCCCATAGCCAAGTGGCCTGAGTCGCATTGGAAAAAATCGGATCTGTGTTGTTCAGACTGCCATAAAAAAATCAGATCCAGGTCGCATATGGGAAAAAAAATTGGATTTGGGTCACTTCAGGCTGCAGTGTGAACGTAGCCTTAAAGTAGACTAAAACTTTTTTAAGTTTTAGTCGACTAAAACGGACTAAAACTATCACATATCACAATGACTGACTAATAGTTTTCGTCCTGAAGACTAAGACTAAATCTAAGATTGCTGTCAAAAACTACACTGCCTATAACGGGGCTTTACGAGAAGAGCTTTCGCAAAGCCTTCTGGGATATATCTGCTAGTCTAGTGGCCATGGATGATTACTACTTTTTAAGGTCCATTGTGGGAAATTTATAGTCCACCACTTTTTCAGACATTTTGACACTTATCTAAAATGGCGTAACCACTATGTAGTGGCCTATATAGTGATTAGAGTGAAGAATGTTCAGACACAGCCATAATGTATTTCAGTGTGGGACTTCTAGTTTGTACGTAATGTAGGTATGTATGTCGAGATGATAAACACTGAAAATTGTAAAATGGTGTTTCTTATTTATTCCAGATGTGAGCAGTGAGCAGGGCATCAGTTCGGCCTCTGAAGAGGTTCAGTCTATTGTGGGAGATACTGGACTCAACTGCCTGATTAATAATGCAGCCATTGGATTCTCAACCAATATCAGCACTGTCACCCCAGAGTCCATGATGACCATGTTCCAGGTCAATGCTGTAGCTCCGCTCTTCATAACAAAGGTAGGGAATGTCCAGATTCTATGGTTATTGTTATTAAACAGAATTGAGAAACATTTGAAACCAAAGCCTAACAATGTTGTTGCATTGTCCGTAGGATGAAATACTTCAGTGATTTTCTTCTAATGAGAGCTTCTGAATTTTTCTGTTTAAAAATGGTGTCCCCCAAGGTTCAGTTCTTGGCCCAGTTTAGAACAATTATACATTAGGCCCCTTGTAACTATATCAGTACAGTTAAACAGATGTCACCATTAGCATACTCATTACATTCAGCTGTATCAATGCTTCAGTTCCTTACATAGTTTAGGAATACAAGAATTATTTCCATGCGTCAAATGCCGCAAAAATGTGTAGAATTCTCTTCGACCTTATTTAAAGGAAAAGTCTAATCAGCCAGAAATAATCAATGAATCATTATTTATACCCATACCTTTGCGGTGATTTAATGAATTTAGCATTGATCAGTTAAAAAATAAAAACACCAATTTTCGTCACGATCACTGAGTCTGGGAGCGGCCATTTTTCCCCA